TTCCTCTTTTCCTTACTTCAGTTTTTGATGGATGCTCTTTAGAATGGTTCTCTTTTCCCATCTCAATCTTGTTTTGAAAGTGTGATTTTTTTCTTGCTTTTTCTTTATATGTGTAATGAGAAGTGGGGATTAGATGCTTTCATTAGATTTTTCTGTTTTATATTTTGCATAAATACCTTATAAGATTTGCATGACTCACTGGGCCACAGTGGTGACCCCTCAGCGCCACCACCGCGGCTTTGTGCACTGGGCCTTCCCGTTAGCTTGTAAGAGTAGCATGCAGTTTAGTGGACCCAGAAGGAAAGTATTTGATTCCCGGTATACTGTGCCCCTTGTGTCCTTGCTGCAGACTTTTCTTACGTAGTTATCTGTTATAGATGAGCTAGGATGGTTGCATTTGAAATTTAACACCATGATTCATATTCACATTTTGAAATTTAACTCCATCTACCTGCAAGTCGCATAGATGAGCTAGGATGGTTGCATGTTTCCCTCCAAACCAATATCAAAAAAAGACATGTTCTTAAGCTGGGAGAATAAAAAAGTGTGAAAAGAGTTTTGAAGTTCTTTGTTGTCAACGCATACTAATCAATGCAGCTAATAATGGGCCTTATTAGAGCTAGGAATTAGAGGCCCTACAACATACTAGATTGGTACTTCCTAATTGAGGAGGAAGTCCAACTCTTATGTATATATCTGCTCAATGAAGATAAGATGTCTAAACTTTGGTTGCACCATTATGTGTGGTGGTGGGAGTTTTAGGATTAAAGAACCTATTATTAATTTTATATTCTATTGTGATTAAAATATGATATACCATACTTTGGTTAATACCACAACATATATAAAACTAAGGACTATGTTTTCTTCTTTATGGATAATCGTGGAGAAGTTTAGGAAAGAAATTGTAGTAAATGTAACAATTGACAATGAGACAAGCTACAGAGTGCTTGCAAATTATTGATGGAGAGGATGAAACATATGTTTTGGTCACCCTATGTAGCTCATTATATTGATTTGATGTTGGAAGATATTGGCAAGATGAAATTAATCAGGGAGACCTTGGATGATGTGAAGATGATCACATCATTAATCTATAATAGTCTTGAAATGGTGAAGTAGATAAAAAAAAAAAATCTTGATAAATAGAGATTTATTGAAGCCTGTTATACCATGGTTTGCCATTGAAAGTCTTTTTCTCTATGAGACTAACTTGAAAATAAATAAAGGGGTTTAGAGTACCTATAATCATAATGTGACAACTCTATAAAGGCACGTGTGAATATTGAAGAAGACTGGATGGAGAAATAGAGTTTCACTATTTGAGCCAAAACATATCTAGTCAAACAGATATAAGAGGTAGGCCGACCAAAACAAGAAGACTATTCGATGATGGTTGGTTCGGTTGGCAACACCCCCTGAAGGTACGAAAATTTTCCCCTGTGCAATAACATACACAACTGTTGAATGGTATGATTTCAACAAGACCAGAAGAAAAAAATTGAAGACATAAGGTCTCAATTCTAATTTTGACTGAGCAATTCTGGATAAAAGCAAGGGAAATTCAATCCTGCAATCCCTTACGAAGCCTCTCGTAAGGGTCTTAAAGATGATGGATCAAGACTAGAAGGCTACTTTACCCATCGTCTATGTAATAAGTCATGAAATTTATAGTATGTTTTTTAGTCGTAGAACTTCACCCATCGCATATCATTATTCAGGTTGAGGAAACATATTCTCTAAGCCCTTGCTTCGTCCTCCAAATAGGAATACCAAGTAAGATTCTTAATTCTCGGCCATGTGTCAATGATAGTGTCGATCAGGGATTGATAGTTGAGCCCACTATTAAGTACATTGAATGGTATTACGTTAAAGAGGAAGAACATCGAAATAATTTTCCTAATTGAGAACATATCTTTAATTGATTTTTGGAAGAAAATATGTACAAAGCAATGCCATTCAGGGGCACGTTGGCTTCTAGATTGTGTTATTTATTTTTGGGTAGGGGAGTTGAGATGAGAGAGACTACAATACTATGTTGGTCTCGTTCATGTACATAGTGAGAGAACCTTAGAGACGAAGCTCATGACGTGATCGGAGGCTTAGAGCGTTGGTGATAACATTGGGAAGAATAAACAATGTTGCACTTTCTGTGAGACCACAAAATCTTCATAAAGAAGAAGAATGGAGTTTTTTGCATTCAAAGAAATTCTTCCATGATTTTTTACAAGTTTGTCTTACGAATTAACTCAATTCCTTGTACCTTTTTTATAATGACAAATTACACTTTGACCCTCCTTAATTGTTATGTTTATCATATTTGGACTTTTAACGATATTATTAATTCTACATTGTCCTAATCCGTAATGTTTTTTACAAATTTGAAGAAAAGTTATGACTTCACCTCTCAACCTATGTGTTTTTTTCACTTTTTCCTAGACATGTTGACAATTTGCTTCCAAAAGATAACGAGCATTTATATTTGGGGCAGTGAGAAATAATTCAAAAAGTTGAAGGGGCAATGTAAAAGATTCAATAATTCAGGAGCAAAGTCAAATTAAGTCCATAGTTAAAGGGGTTAAAGTGTAATTTGTCATTTTTACAATGACAAAAAGGTATGATTTATGGGTTGAATAACCACACAATTGCATTAGTGCTTCTATGTGTTGGATTTGATAGACCATAGAACACCATAGGGGTTTCTATAAGGTTGTGATATGCACTTTTTGCTTTCTTTCCTATTAATCTAGTTTTGTTTGGCCTTTTCTTGTAGGTCGGGTCTTCTTTTATAGATGCGAGTCCCAAGTCCCATGTCCCTCATCTCTTTTGTCTTTTCTTTGGCATCTTCTCTATTGCTTGAGATTTGGTGAACGATTTTGAGGGTATCGATTTAATGCAAATGTGAGTCATCCAATTCAAATGAGATGATGTGCCAATGCTATGTCATAACCGTGTCTAACAATGATTTATGAGAACCTTCATGATATTTATGTACCATTTATCATTATTGAAAGCTATACGACTAAATTGACACATTGACGTTGTACCCTGACAATAGCACCCTTATAATTTATTTTCACTATGTTTAAGGTGTTTGATGATATATTTTGGACTTACGATGCATGGATTTTGTTTACATTTATTAGAATTTTTAAGGATTCTTTTAGTATTTTTTGGACGTATCAACCAATATTGTGCAGGGATGCCATGACCGCTGTGTGTTGGTAGCCTCCCAGTTGATGACACCTTGAATAATGACCCTTAGATTCGTATGGTGCTCCAATTATTGGATTATAGGATATCCTTGGGTTAACAAGTGCCCATGTTACATGTTTTTCCAGTGCATTTGATTTGCACTCCTTGGATAAGCTTAAGGTATGACATAATGACAAAGGTTTGGGGTTTCATATTTTTCAACCTCTTTTGTATGCCTCTCCATTTCTTTACTTTTCTCTGTTTCAACATACATTCTTCTGGTTCTTGATATGTATAACGATAATCAGCAACAACAAAACTACGGATTATGAGCTTCTAACAGAGTGTCTTCCTTCTTTTGAATTTATGAGAGTAACATGTTGAGTTCATTGATGTGCTTCAGCCCCATTTATTAATTGTTCTCCATCATCTGTTTTCTTTCCTTTGTTTACGTTGTACTAAACTCCAGCATCTTGTTTTCTAATTTGGTGCTCTCATAATTCTAACTTTTATTTGAAGCAATTGCATATATGTGGTGGTATATATGCCATTAGTATACTGGGTGGCTGTTGGGATTTAATAGTTGTATGTTGATTCTCTAGTGCAATCACTTAGTCTGCTAGGTTATCTATTTGTCTAAATGAATAATCGCTACGTCATATTTTCTTTGTAGTTAATGTAGGGTTATATCATCTGTGCTAATGTGAAAATGTTGTAGTGAATTCTAGAACCATATTAATCAAAATTGCTTTTGGATGGTTTCTAGGGTCATCATCATAAAGAACATGGATAGGAATATATGTGAAGATGTCTTGGCTTGCTGTAACAAGAAGAATAACACTTCTTGAGCTATGCTTTTGTGCTAATTCACCATAATATGTATTGCATTTCACCCTAGATCCTATAAATTATCTTCTTTCCATTCCTTTGAAATGGAAAGTTATTTCCCTATATAAGCAATGGAGTTTCTTCAAAACTTATTATTTAGTTAAGGAAATGAAGATGTTATCATCTAATAGCTCTTATGGTAACCTATCCTGTGACAGGTGGGTGACATTGAGCAATCTTCTTCATAAGGGACTATTTTGCAATAAAACTTAGGAGATCACTGAAAAACTAATTAACCTTCAGGTCCACATAACGTACTTCATAACTGTTTGAGTTATGCAAGGTACCCCCTTAACCACTTCATAATTGTAACAGAGCTTATATCCCATAGTGTGGCCGTAATCCATAACTAAAATCAACTCTTCACAAGTTTTCCTGAATGTCATTTCCAACACTTTTACTATAAGACTCTCGATTATTCTTAGTCCTATCTTGAGATTCATTGAAGTTATATGTAAGCAAAAGAAAGAAACAAAGTTTTATATTATTAGAGGATGGAAAGTTAAAAGGGCTAACAGCTTTCAGGAGAAATAACATGAAAATGCTGTTGATGGATGATTCGATTCTCTGTTGTATTTATGGTAATGAGTGTTGTCTCTCTGAAAGAACTGTTATTGATGGTGTCACTTCTTTAACCGTTCTTTATTATGTTGTTATATGTGACACATTTCCCTGATTGTTGTGAGGCTTATGCTGGAAGCTTTTGGAAGCAACTTTTGTGTGATATTCATATTGTTTGGGCATGGGTTTTACCAGAATGATGGGCAACTGAATTTATGATTCATCTTTTTACAAATAAAGCAGTTTATATTGCTGACTGAACCTGGGTCTAAGTCAAATATCCATATCAAGTGGAACACTCCTGAAATGGTGATTGATATAAAAGTGTCTAGATGGAAACAATTTTTTTAGTAATAATGATGGTTGGGGGTGCGAATGGTAGAAATGCAATAGTTCTTGATGTGTTGCATTCATTTGGCTTCCAGCACTATCAGTTCCAGGATGCTAACTTCAGGGTTTTGTTTCACATTATATGGATAATCAGAGAGCTAGCAAAAATCCATCTAAAGTTTTCCACTCTATTTTTCAATTAATCGGCACTGCAACCATGTTGGGTTTTGCTGACATGCTCTGACCTCATTTTTTATATCTGCAGTATCTGGATGAAAACAAATCACTGATTCTGAAGATTGTTGAGAGCCAGAACTCAGGGAAACTGAGTGAGTGCGCCGAGTAAGTATAAGTTTTTCCTTCCCTTTTTCCAGTTGTTTTGTTGGTGAATTATTCTATGATGTAGATTGATGCAGCCCTTTTCAAAAAACTTGTTCTTTAGAAACTGCTAAATGGATAACTTGTCCTATATTATGACAGGAACCAAGCCAGGCTTCAGCGAAACCTAATGTACCTTGCTGCTATTGCTGATTCTCAACCTCAACCACCTACAATGCATTCTCAGGTACAGATCTTATTTTCGTGTCGTCACAAATCCCACATCGGCTTGGTAGGGGGTGTCATATATATGGACTGATAAGATCTTTGGGCGGTTCTTCCCGTAACAACTTAAGCTTTTGGGTTACTCGGCCGTGACAAGTGGTATCAAAGTGAGACCTAATGCGTCACAACCCTATAAGTCTGTGTGGGTCTAACATTGGGGATACCGGGGTCGATATGCCCGAGCCAGGTGGGCCCTCTTACTCCAGGGGTGGAGCCGATGTGATGAGAGTGTCACATCTTTGGGTGGGTAGAATGTCATGAATCCCACATCAGATAGTTAGGGGGCATCATGTGGGCTTATAAGATCTTAGGCTGTTCTCATCCTAACAGCTTGAGCTTTTGGGTTACAAGGCCGTGACACAGTGCAATCTTGCGTATTTATTAAAGGCTTTTGGCATATGATGACATCACTATGGTTTTTTGGGCTTCTGTCTTGGTGGTTCACACTTCATGTTATTTGGAATAATTCCAATAGGATAGAGTGTTGCTTCGTTCTTCTGAGCTATGCTCTGGCCTTTGATAAGTCAGTAATTCTTGGGTTTTACTGAACTTTTTATTTTGACCTCTTTGTTGCGGTATGACCATATTCATGGGTGTTTAGTGGCTATTGTAAAGATGGTAAGTCCTTTTGTGCTTTTCGGTTTGAAGGCACAGGTGAAGAGGAGATTTGTCTATGGGAAAGCATAGGTTTTTTTTGCATCCTTTTGGGCTTCAGTGTCTTCTCATTTTGCAGGAATTCCTCAAGTTTTGATAAGAGCGGATTGCAATCTCTATGTGAATTGTAACTGAATTTTCTTTTGTTATCTTTAGTTTCCTACTTTGATGGATGGCTCGTCCTTCTTGTAATATGTTTTATAATTAATAAAGTTATGTTGCTGATCAAAAGAACAAAAAAAGAGATGGCAATTACACATTAACGCCTTTCTTTCATGCCCTACAGTTCCCTCCTGGAGGAATTATGCAGCCTGGAGCGCACTACCTGCAGCACCAACAAGCTCAACAAATGACACCACAATCGCTTATGGCTGCACGGTCATCTATGTTGTACAGCCAACAGCAACTTTCCTCACTGCAACAACAGCAAGCCTTGCACAGCCATCTTGGAATGAGCTCTGGAGGTAGTAGTGGACTTCATATGCTGCAAGGGGAGGCTACTAGTGCTGGAGGCAGTGGGGCACTTGGGGGTTTTCCCGACTTTGGCCGTGGCACAGCAGGGGATGGCTTGCAGGCTACTGGAAGGGGAATGCTTGGTGAGAGTAAGCAAGATATTGGGAGTGCCGGGTCTTCTGAAGGGCGCGGTGGGAACTCAGGAGGTCATGGTGGAAATGGGGGCGAGGCCCTTTACTTGAAAGCTACTGAAGATGGAAACTGA